TTGGTGCACCATGGCTCTGTGCTGCAAGAAGCCCAAGCTGTAGCGCCACGCCATCCCGGAAGCATCAGCTGCCCCAGCAAGCATCCCTTCACCCAGCTGCCTTCTCTCCCAGTTCCCCACACCAACCTTTTGCCTTTTGCACCGAGCAGCCAAAGCAGAAGTGCCTCGCTGCTTTTGCTGTTTCCTTTTCAGACCCACAGCTGCCATGCTACCCCAGGCGAATGCTTCCTACATGTGGCATCCCAGCCCAGCAGGGTGGTGCAAATAAGAATGTCAGCCAATGGAAGCAGTTTCACTCAATGAGAAAGTGCTGGGGGTTGGCTCAGCTTCTCTGGCGCTTTCCCATTGGGGAAACCCCAGTGCTTTCCCATTGGGTGAAACCATTTCCTGCCTTCCCCATTGGCTGGCATTTTTATTTGTGCTGCGCTGCTGGGCAATAACGATAATAATAATAATTATTATTGCAAGGTGGCAAAAGCAAGGGGTTTGCTTCTGCTGACTTCACACAAAAGGGCTTGCAATAATAAGTAGTAGTAGTAGTAGCAGCAGCATGGCAGCTGCAGGTCCAAAAAGGAGACAGCAAAGGCAGCTTGGTGCTTCTGCTTTGGCCGCAGTGGTTGGGTGCAAAAGGCAAACGCTCAGTGTGGGGAACTAGGAGAGAAGGCAGCTGGGCAAACGAATGCTTGCTGGCGCTTGTTGGGGCTTCCTGGACAGCCCGAGCCATGTGGTTCTAGGGCTGGTTGCTGCACCACAAGGCAGGGTGCAGGGCAGCCAAAAGAACAGAGATGGGGGAGGAGATAGGCAGGTGGGGGGGGGGAGTTGGAGGCAGTCCCTTACTTTGCTGAGGCTCAGGAAGAACCAAGCCCGGAATAGCTTGGATTGGAGTGGGTCTTCGGCTAATGACTGGTGGAATTTGCTTAACAATGGCAATGGGGAGTGCTGAGATTGCCATCCCTAAGCAATGTGATCACATGACATCTTGCTTTATGACACCACTTAGTGATAGAAATTCTGGTCCCAATTGTGGTTGTAAGTTGAGGACTACCTGTATAAGATGGATAATGGAGAGCAAAATATAGAAGAAAGAAGTTTATCTTTGCTTCATTGACTACATAGTTAAATCCTTTAACTATGTAAATCATACAGAATGTAGAATGTGTTAAGGCTAATGGTGTGCCAGAATACCTGATTATTTTTCTGGGAAATTGTAAGCATGATCAAGAAGCTTCTGTAAGAATTGAATTTGGTGAAACAGAGTGGCTTGGAATAGGAAAATGAGTGAGACAAGGATATATATTCTCCCCTGTATTTGTTTAATTTATACAGCCAACATGTTTTAAGAATGGCAGATTTCAGGATTTGAAGAAAAGATGGTTGGAATCAGCACTGGAGATTGAAATATTAATGCTTTGAGAAATTCAAATGACACCACTCTATCAGCTGAAGCTAAAGAAGAGTTATAAGAGCTCATTATGCAAGTTAAAATGGAGAATAAAAGTCCAGATTAATCTTAAATATTAAGAGAACAAAAATAATGTCTACCTGCCTGACCATGAAGAAGTGAAGGTGGCTGATGGTTTTGTTTTTTGAACTTAAGATGACTTTAGATCAGTGTTTTTTAAAGTAAGATCCTAGGACCCTTGGGGATCCCCTAAGACTCTCTCAGAGGTCCACAAAATATTTGCTAGCCTATGTTGAAAAATAATACAATATTAAAATCACATCAAACCATCATGAGAAGTGGTAGTGGCAGCAAATATATCCATTTTAAACTTTAATATGGTAAATATCAATAAATATAACCCATACAAAGAAAAGCTCTTTTGGGGTCCTCCATAATTTTTAAAAGTGGGAAAGGGTCCTGAGAGAAAAAAGTTAAAGAAACAATGCTCTAGATAAAAATGGACAATGTGCTGGAAAAGTAAAAAGGAGGATTACTCCTAAGAAGAAGGAAGTTATAAGAATAAATGAAAAATTAAGATTAGAATAGTTAAAACAGCAGTCTTCTCAGTGGCACTGTATAACTGTGAACACTGAATACTGAGAAAGATTGAGACATATCTCCTTGAATTTAAAATTTTGGGACTGTTACTAAAATATCATGAAATGCAAGAAGACCAATCAATCATTCCTGCTCCAAATAAAGGCTGATTGTTCCCTTGGGGTAATGAACAGCAAACAAAAATTCACATATTTTGGGCATGTGATATAAGAGGAAAATGGGTTAGAAAAAATATGGTATTTGATGAGGATGAAGAAAATAAGGCAAAGAAAAGTGGAGTAGATGGGCTCAAAGAGATTACTGAATTGTCCTTGGAAGAGGTGTGAGTTTTTATTAAAAGGGAATCAGGAGTTGAACTTGTCTCAGTAGCACCTAACTTAGATTCCTTGGTACTAAGATGTTGACATTCTCAAGTTTGCAGTACTCATAGCTTATAGACAATTTTTAATATGTTACAGGTAGTCCTCACTTAACGACCACAATTTGGATTGGCAACTCAGTCATTAACTGAGCAACTCAGTCGCTAAGTGAAACTGTGACAGTGCTTATGATCTTACTTCAGCTTTCCTTTGCTTTACAGACCTGCGAAGGTCATAAATGTGAGGATTGGTCATGAAGTTACTTCTTCATCACTGTCATAACTGTGAACAATTGCTAAACAAGGTCTACCTGTATCGTACGTTTCATAAAATACTAACTTTCTGGAAGGATCATAGTGGAAAAGGTGCAGCATAATCTTATAAAAACAAATGAATCACCACTTATACCCTGTGTTTCCACAATTGCTAGTACTAAAATACACACACCCACACCCACAGAGATACATTCACATAGCAAAACCAATAAAAACAAACTTGTTTCTGAAAGCAATAACCTGATTTCCACACTATCTAGACCATCAATGCAAGTCATGGTGAAAACTACGAAAGTAATTCTTGATTCATTTCAATGGGGCATGCAGCAGTTAACTGCACTCAGAAGCTGTGATCTTATGTTTTGAACATCTACACAGATTTCCATAGGCCTAGGGAATTTGTATACATCATAGAACACACATGCAAGAGAAGATTATTTAAATTCAGAGTATACACTTTCACAAGAAAAAAAAAGTGTGTGTGTATGTATGAAGTGCTTTGGATATTGCTGGAGGTTTATTATTATTGTTATTACTTTGCTGTCTAAATCATTTACTCCAGGCAAGAGATGTAGTTCCTAATACAGATATAAACCCACCTCTTTTTTAAGTCCCAAGAATAAGAACTTGGAATGTATTGACTTCTTGTGCTTGGTGCAATTACCCCTTGTGCAAAACAAATATTACTTATAGTTTCATGTTCTTATTCATGCATTCAGAATAACATGATATATTTTAGAATATCAGATAGAATATTTACTGCAGAAACTTACTTATATGCTATTTTGTAGTAAACCATGATTATAAAGTACCTAGCCTCACATGAATAATATTCCTTTACTCTTCATTTTAACATAACAGAACCTTAAATGAATGCATACTCTTGCTTTTGCACATGCTGTCAGTGAACTATTAATTGTAGTTTCTCTGCTGGACAATGCTGCTGAGAGCACAAATCAGGACAGAAATAATTATTGAACATATTCTGTTAATGTGCATGTACTAAAAAGCAAATGAGGCTGTAATTATATACCTAATTAGTCTCTGGGAGGCTGAAATTCTAAAACTATACTCAGTTATCACAGAATATACACTACTGAACTCTTTGGGGCTTATTTCTGAGTAGAAACATATAGAATTGTGCTGTTAAGGTAACTGTCACCTCTTTCTTTGTATAATTTTTGTATACATTCATTAAGGGATTCAGATGTTATAATCAGAATTATAAACAAAAATTTGCTGTTAAAAAGGCCATTCTGATTATTGTTCAGCTCACATAAGCTATATTTGGCAAAGATTGTATATTGACAAGGGGCCCCACCCACCCATCCCCACAATGCAGACGGTTCCTGTATCACCTACTGCACAAATATTTCTACAATATGCTTTCCTACAGGACACCAGTTCTTGCAGTGCAATTCTATAATTCCAGATCGATACTCCCAATTTTCTATAAAGAAGCTCACAATTTCATAGTTATGACTAGTTCTAAGTTTTCTTCACCATCTTTTCTCCACCTCCTTATGTTGTCTGCAGCTCTTACTGGAATATGGTTCTGCCAAGGGAATATTTAATACTGAAATGACAGATAAATCAAAATACTATATAGAAATGGTTACCAACAGAGGTACGGCATTCTTAACATCAGCATCAGGATCGTTTAGCCATCCCAATGCATATTGCAATTTTTCAAAGGGATATACAGAATGTTTTTGCTTATACATCTCTACGTTTTCCATCATAAACAGTTTTTAAGAAATCACTGATAAATGAAACTCTTTCGTAAGCTTTTTAAAAAACACTTAGTGGATCCTTGTTCCTATCAGTCTACTGGGTGATTACAAATTTGAAAGGAAGCATATTAGAAAAATGTCATGCTTGCTAAAGAATGCCTTTCTTGTGTAAGCAATAACCATCCTGCATTTTATATATTATCTTATAAACATTCTTCATTATATATTTGTGTTGCTCATAAGGTGTGCACATACTTCCTACTCTTCATTTCACCTGTTGGGATTGTTGTATTGTAAACATCACTTTATCCATGGCATGCCAATAAAAGACTTTACTGTTTTTTCAGAAGCAATCACATGCATTAAAGTTCAGGTCACCAGCTACAGTTGGACTTTACAACTGAAAGCGAAGCCATCCATAATTCATTCTTGTTGAATGGTAATTTGGCTG